TCCAATGACTGGATTAGTGGAGAGCATGATGGACATCTTGCCAGGTGATGCACGGAACCTGCAACCACATATTAAGAAAAATAAAGAAATATACTGGGACCTGGGATCGAATCCAGGTCCTCCCACTCACACAACGCACGCCTTGGCCATCTGTGCTATCATGCTTAATTGTTAATAAAATGAGAAAACAATATTATAATGACAATCCATGCAATTTCCTTAAAAATGCGCAAATTTCAAATGGACCAGTGGTTGATTGTCACGCCTTCATCTTCTTCCCATAAGTGTTATTTTAGGTATCAGACTTATACCTACGGACATCTTCCATAGCTATAAACCTGCAAGCTTTAAAAATTCATAAAACGCATGATAAATTAATTCCAGCTATACCAATCAACTCGTCTTGGTCTCACGAGTAACATGGCACCATTTTCTTGGCCTAATTTTACCTATATAGAGAAACCCTAAAACGGCTTCTTAAACCTTAGCCATGGCAATTAGCGAAACAGTCATCAAAACTCAAAGTTAATTGAACTAAAACATTCCAAATGATGATACAAATACAATGTTAAGCTTAAAAGTGGTTAATCATGCGTGAATTATAATATCAAAATCAAACTGATATGTGCAAACCGTGGGTTTATCAAGAGCGATTATGGGCTTGGGAAGGCTTGCAAACGATCGTGTTAGCTTCAAGAGATGTCCAGGAAGTGATTAGCAGCTTTGTAACGTCTTGAATCACCCTCTATATGAGAAAACGATCCACCACTTTTTTGCCAAAATTTGAGTTTTTTTTTCACGACTGCAACCCTTGTTCTTTTGGCTTGTGTATGTTCTATATATGTAATGGAGTGTATTAGGTTAACAAAAAACAACTGAATCTTTTCCAATCATGGAATTTGAATGTGATTTATTTGCCATATGATATCTTTCCAAAACCATCCAAATCATGCTATTTTTTCCTCAATTTTCCTTGATTCGATTTGATCCTGATATGCCAGCTTGATTAGATTTGATTAACAAAAATCAGATCAAAAAACCAATCTTTGATATTTTTGTCATTTATTTGATTTAATGTGACTTTTAATAAATAAAAATCAAAATAAAATAAATAAATAGAGCAAATAATATATGGATTCTTATTTGGGTCGTGGACCATGTCCCTAACAAGATACAATCCTGAAATGCTAGGCCCATTTGACAAAAAAATACACTTTTGGGCACATTTGACTTTTGGCAATTTTCCAAAAATGACCAACTTTGACAATGCATATCTCTTCCAATTTTAACCCTAGAGAGGTGTTCTTGGACTTTTTAGAAAGATTAGGATGTACCCTAAACACCCATTTTGGTTTCATCTCAATTGGGTCTTCCATGTTCATGTAAGAAGCTTTGACCCAAAATGTGTTTTTCTTGACTTTTCAAAAGGACCTATAATGTAGAAATTCATATCTTTTTATGAGTGAATTTTTTGAACTTGAGGGATGAAGATGAGTTGTAGGAAATTGGATTCTATTCAAAATGAGCTTTGGATGAAATTTTTTTGATAAAGTATGAGAAAGTTATGCTTGGTCAAAGCTTGGTTGACTTTTCCTAAGAAACCCTAATTTAGCAACTTTTGAGTTTTGATGAATTAGGAGCATTCCTTGAGGAATCATGATCAACCCTTGATAAAATTATGAGTATCACTTCAAAATGTTTATGTTGACCAAAAATGTTGAAGTTTGACTGTACGTGGGTCACAGTTGACTTTTGACCTAATACATTTAATTTTCAAGCATCTGAGCAGTTGACTGAGCAAACTTCTTGTGTCAGGCATGCAACTTGACATGGATGTTCTTGAGAACATATTAGGACCATGGAAAAGATTTGATGCCTTTGGAGTTCACCCATCTTGATGAAAATGGAAACCCTAGTTGGAGGTTCATTGCTTTAGGAGAGGGTTTGTCTGATCAACTCTTGGACATCCTTGAGCAAGTTAAGGGTCTTAATGAGCATATGTTGAGTAAAATGGGAGGGAAAATTTTGGGGTGCAACAATACAGTTTTTCATTTGAACCATTACATTTGTTTTCCATTTTCAAAAAACGGTTGATTCGTGGTTTTTTGATTTATCGTTCTTTGCTCTTTAGGTTATTTGACTTTGTTTGAGGACAAACAATGATTCAAGTTGGGGAGAGTTTGATAAGTGTAAAGTGTAGTTATTTTGTATATACTTTTTGTTGCACTTATCAACTCTTTGTTGTTAATATCAGTTGAATAACCCTGTTGTTTGTTGTAAATACGTTTAATTGTGTTTTGTGTACATATTGTATCAGTTGATTAGTTTTGTATTTGTTTCATAGGTATTTGAGCACGCTTAGAGCAAAGAGGAATAAAGCTCCAAGATGCATTTTTGGATCAATAAAGGAATAAGGACAAGATTGGAGGCCATTGGAAGTTATGCAGAGAAAGAAACAAAAGTTGCTTTCATGTCATGCGTCGACGGGAGAAATTTTAAAGACCAATTTTGATGAAGTCTCTGCCTTGCGTCGCGTCTGTGTCTCTAGGAGAAAATAAGGAGAGTCGTCGGGCGATGAATTTTGCTCTCCGGGCGACGATAAATATTTGTTTCAGTTGAGGATGTGGCTTATTCTGGGCCAAGTGTATAGAAGTCATCGCCGAGTGACACTTTTATGCCGTCGGGCGACGATTGCGGATCACAATTTTGCTTATATTTTCATTTCTTGTCATTTTGGAGAGTTATGGTTTTGGGGGTGAATTTTTGTCTCCCAACTCCACCAACCTCATTTTTGTAGTGGATTAGCTTAGATAACAACACTAGGGCTTGCATACGGATGATCCAGGATGGATTGCTCGTCGATCAGCTCTGACAAAACAGAAGATTTATGGTTTATCTCTTCTCCTCTCTATGTATTTCTCTTTTATTGGATTTTGTATGTATATTTACTTTGAACTTATGTATATTTGTCTTCCATGGCGTTATATTAAACTTGTTTTACAAATCTTTGTAGATGGTTGTCTTAGATTTTTTCTCTGTGCTAGGGATTTGAGTTGTTATAGACATATACTGCTTATATTCTTATCTAGGATGATTGTCTATTAGTTTCTAAACTCCAGAGATAGAGTTAGAGCTGACATCTACTTGGGTATCAGAGCTTAATGCCTCTGTGTTGTTTGTGTCGCTCTGAGAGACCGTTGACGCAAATGAGCATGGTTGTCTTATGTGTTCTTCAGGAGGTAGAGAGATAATTTCCTTGGTGATACAGTTGATCTCTCGATTTGGGTTAGAAATGACTTAGGTTGTGAGTGATACGTAGTGACATTGATGAGTATTGTTAGGTTGAATGTAACTGGTCAATAGATTTAAGGTTGTGATGAGTAGATTATATGCAGACTTGATAAGTTCTTCCTTAGTTTTTTTCTTTTGTTTACATTTATTTTCTGTTAATACTTTTCTATACCATTCAAACCCCAAACTCATTAATGAATGATTTGTAGAACAGCGAGTCAATAATCAATCTCTGTGGACACAATACTATATAACCTAAATATCACCCGATAAAATAATACTTTACTTTTTGCTTGCCGCTATATACCGCAACAACAGGTGCACGAAAAGGGGGTAAAGGGGTGAGATTAGGGATTTGGGGGAAAAGAATTTGTTGATGTTGAAAAATTGAAAAATCCTGTGGGGTTGAAAACCCAGCGGTAGGAAAAGGGATGAAGTATGTTTGGATGTTGGAGAAGGAGTGTACGGTGTGGCTGTATGGTAGGAATGAGGGTGGTGCAAGTTGTTGGTGTTGTGCGGTTGTCATGCGGTGTGTGGTAGAGATAGTAGAGTGTAATGGGGGTTGGGTAAAATGGATAGAATTTCTAGGTGGTGTGTATTCAGGTGTGATAACATGGGAGGTATGTGTGTTGTTCATGGGTGTGGAAGAATGCTTTTTAGAAATACCTGATGCAGATGCAGAGGTGAGAATCGTAGCAGCAGCCTGTTGGTCATTTTTTGTCACCAGCTTAGCTAAGATAGGCATCATAGAGTCGTAGCGGTTGTCCGCTACCTGTTTGTCCTTATCCAAGCGAGTATGAAACTGACCTACTTGCGTTTGCATATTTGTGGCAGTCGTGGTGAATCGTTCGTCAAGCTCTTGTTGTGTGTCTTAAAGGGCGTTATCAAGACGTAGTCCTGCTGTTTTCACAATAGCTTGGACAGTTTCATCGATAATCTCTTTCGAGGATGGATTATAAGGTTTTGGTGGAGCCATGAGAACAAGAGAATGAAAGAGCCAACGATACAAGGGTTTTTCCATTGAATAGACACAAAACAAAGAAAAAAAATAAAATTCGTAATTCTTTCTTAGCGTTTTTCCACAATACAAAAGTGCTATAAATACAAAGCATAAATCAACTTAATGGGTCTGACCCAACTACAAAAGATAAATAACATTTTAATTAATAGTGACATCCTATTACTTGGACACATAATCCTCCAAATATTTGGGTTTGCTTCTAATGCGTATGGGCCTTGTATCACTAAGGCTCGTCCGCTTAGATAATAGGGATGAGGTTATAAATCTCAAGTCCTCCTAGATTAGTCCTTGTAGATGAACATAATGATAATTCTTATTGTATTTTTTTTTCCGCAAAAGGAATTCACTTAGAAAAAGTAGTTTCTCACCCCACGTGTTTGTTGTTAATAGGCAAGAAACCACATGTATAACTTTCTGGTAGCTTGAGAAAAAAGGAATCAGAAATTTACTTGTATTTTGTATCTTAGGTGGATTGATCTCATGTAAGTCCACCAATGTATCTATTTCATTCTGTTTCATTGTATATATGAGGCGATTATACCAGTTAACATTCCAGAGGACCACCTCTGAAAAAAATACAAGGAAACAAAGGACAAAACAAAGAAGTGGGCTATCTAAGAAAAACAGCTCCTCCACTTGAGACACTTGCGAGTTGATCATTCTATTTTGAAGGACTTCACGTGAAGTTCTACCTACCATCGCCAATTTTCAACTGAGAGAAAACAGTATCTGCTGCAGTATCAGACTCATCAGTAACCCTTCCAATAGACATGTCATCCTTTTCACTCGGTGTAGAAAGCGAAGGAAAACGGCGAACATTTGACAATTGAATTGATACCAAAGCACTGCTTGAACTATCCTCGTGAGGTTGTCTATGTATTTCACCTCTCTGAAGCTGCAAAGCATATTCCAAGTCCCACAACACATCACCCATTGAAGGCCTATCAGAACCATCCTCTTGTAAGCATTTTTCCACTATATCACTAAACTTTCTCAATGAGTTTTGATCAATCTGTCCCTTAATGGATGGATCGATAATATCTTCCATCATCCCTTTGTCATAAAAGTAGAGAAAGAAAGTGGTAAGACCAGGCTGTAGATTTGAAAAGTCACAAAATTGAAGCCTAATGAAATGATCAATATTCTTGCTGTTTGGTAGAGAGTTGAAGGTACAGATGATTGAGAAGTGACTGTGGAGCTTATGCCGAATATTTTTTTAGGGTAATTAGGCTTTGATTCTCCAATATAATCGTTGTTATTTTGTTCAACGTTGTTATCTGATCCACAGTTGATGAAGTATGTCTTTTGGGGATTGTATAATCCGAGTGAGGGAAATTGCAGTGATGAGAATTGAAGAAGAAATGCAAGTAAAATGATAGAGTGTTGAATTGCCATGGGTGTTGAAGATATTTTTGAAGCTGTGGTTGGGGAACCAATGAACAAGACTTAGATGAGTGGAAAACAAGACTTGAGCTTTGGAGTGTTGTTAGTAGAAGTAGACAGTTGGGAAGACTTAGATAAGTGGAAGACTTTACCAGTGTATGTGTGGTTAGTGGTTAATTCGTCTGCTTTGAATTTTCTTCTTCCTTGTTTGTTTCTATTTTTATAAGTATCTTTGGAAGCTGATTTATCAACAAATGCACCTTGTTTGGCAATTAAAGACTCACGAAGGCGGAGCGTCGCAATTCAATTTTCTTCTTCTTTGTTTGGCATTTCTTGACATTCAGATTCATTTCCAACAAATGCACCAGCCCTAGTTGGAAGTCGCTTGTTTATCTTTCAAAGGATACATCAATCAATTTAGCCATTTAAAATAAAAGCTACAATATTCTTTGAAATTTTCAAATAATTCAGTTAAGGTTTTTGCATCGAAATGAATGAATATAATAATATTATCATAAATTATTATATTTTTGTTAAATTAATTTTATAAATATATTGAAAGTAATATATAGAGTAATAATTTAATGACACAATTATAAAAATAATAATTATTTTTATATTAAAAAATAATAATGATATTTATTTTGAAATAATTATTTTTACTAAAACAACAGTTAGTTTGAAACGAAGGAAGTAATATTTTGAAAATCTCTTTCAATCACCTATCATTTAACAAATATAATTTAATCTCAAATTTATAGAAATATCATGATTTCAAATAATAATATTTTATTATTTGAACCATTATTTAGTAAGTTAAATTTTCACTTATATCTGTTGGTGTAAGGTAATGAAGTGAGAGAAGAAGAATGAACAAAAATGATAACAAGACTATTGTTGTATATCAAAATAGAGGAGATAAAATTGGGTACAATATTGATAGACTAATATATCATATTTATACTAAATATTGAAAATACCAAAAGACTCTATTAAAGAATAAGTATTGGGAATTGTAGACATTAACTAAATTATATTTCCAATACCATTCCTTAATTTAGATATTCTATCAGAAGCTAACAACACCAATTTCATCTCTCAAGCGAAGAAATTGATTTGTCTTAACTGCCTTCGTCAGAAGATTTGCTAATTGTTTCTGAGTGCTGCAGTGCAGAACTTCTAACACTCCTTTCTGCACTTGACTTATGAGAAAATGATACTTTGTCTCAATGTGCTTGCTTCTTCCATGTAGCACTGGATTTTTGGCAAGATCAATTGCAGATTTATTATCAATCATCAGCTTCAGAGGTTCCTCAACTTCTACCTTCAGATCATGCAAGAAATTTAGAAGCCAAACAGCTTGACAAGCAGCTACAGCACCTGCGATATACTCAGCTTCACATGTTGATAGAGCCACGACAGGCTGTTTCTTGGAACTCCAGGAAATGAGACCTCCCAGAAATTTAAACAAGTATCCAGAAGTACTTCTCCTGTCCACTCTGTCTCCACACCAGTCAGAATCAGAATAACTTACTAATTCTGGTTGTCTTTCTTTCAGAAGGAAACAATACTCCATATTTGAGGGTTCCTTTGATATATCTCAGAATTCTGACAGCAGCTTGAAAATGAGACCACTTTGGATTACTCATGAATCTGCTAACCAATCCAACTACATAACAAATGTCAGGTCTAGTATTGCATAAATACCTTAGAGAACCAGCCAATTATTTGAAGGTTGTAGTATCAACAGAATCACCATCAGAGTCAAAATCCAATTTTTAATTGGTTTCTGATGGTGTCACAACAACTTTACAATTCTGCAGCTTAAATCTTTTCAGAAGTTCTAGTTCGTACTTCAACTGATGCATAATGATACCCTTCTCCGAGTACAGAATCTCCATTCCTAAGAAGTATGTCATATTTCTTAGATCTGTCATCTCGAACTCATTCATCAGAACTTCTTTGAACTTCTTTATATCTTCTGGGAAGCTTCCTGTTAGCAAAATATCATCAATATAGAGACACACCAGAATCATATTATTATCAGAGTGTTGCACATAAACGCCATATTCCATCTCACATTTCAGAAAATTCTGCTTCTTGAAAAATGAATCAATTTTCAGATTCCAAGCTCTGGGCGCTTGCTTCAGTCCATACAGAGCTTTATTCAACTTGTATACCACCAATTCCAGATTCTTTTTCACAAATCCAGGAGGTTGTCACACATAGACTTCTTCCTACAATGGACTGTTCATAAATGCAAACTTCACATCCAGATGCATTAAAGGCCAATTTCTATTTGCAGCTAAAGCAATCACCAATCTGATTGTTTCATGCCTAGCTACAGGCGCAAACACCTCAAAATAATATAGCCCAGGGTGCTGAAGAAAGCCTCTAGCTACTAGTCTAGCTTTGTGCTTGCCAATTTAACCATCTGGCTTGGGTTTCAACTTAAAAACCCATCTGACGCTGATGGCTTTTTTCTTATCTGGAAGTTTAGTCAATTTCCACGTTTTGTTCCTTTCTATTGCCTCAAGTTCTTCTTTCATGGCATTCAACCATTCTTTCTTCTTGAGAACTTCTTCAATGCTCACTGGTTCAGAATCTACTAACATGGCACACTGAATGACTTCTCCTTCAGAGTCAACTTCATTATCCTACAACATGTCAAAATCTGCAAACCTTCTTGGTTTTTGTATGACTCTCTATGTTCTTGAGCTTGTTCTGAAGCTGCACCAGAACTACTACCTTCAGAGTTACCACCTCCAGAGTTTTCCCTTCCAGAACTATGATCACCACCAAATTCTGGGTCATCATCAGCATCTGGATCAGAATCAGATCCATTATCAGAATCTTCTTCTGACTCATCTTCAGAATCTTCAGAATCAGATTCATCTTCTGAACTTTCTAAAACATCTTCAGAGGCTAACTTTGGTGTTGGTGACTACACCAGAATCTGATTGAGACTTGTTCCAATCCCATGTTTCAGATTATTTCACCACAACATCTCTGCAGACCTCAACTTTATTAGTTTCTGGATAATAAAGCTTATACACACTTGTACTGTAGTACCCCACCAACAATATTACTTTGCTTCTATCATCCAATTTTTATCTTCTAGCTTCTAGAACGTGTTTGTAACAGACATAGCCAAACACCTTTAGATGACTGACACTCTGCTTATCTCCAGTCCATTTTTCTAAAGGAGCAACTTCCTTCAGCTTCTTCATTGGACACCTGTTCATAATATATGCTGATGTGGCAACAACTTCTCCCTATAGCACGTGATGTAGCTTTTTCTCTTTCAGCATTCTTCTGGTCATATCAAGCAAAGTTCTATTTCATCTTTCAGCAAGATTGTTGTGCTGAGGAGTATATGGAGAAGTAACCTCATGTTTTTTTCCACTCTACTCACATAACTTCTGGAACTCTGTAGAGTTATACTCACCTCCACCATCTATTCTCAGAATCTTCAACTTTTGACCACTCTGCTTCTCAGTCTTCACTTTGAACTTCTGGAACTCAGTAAACACTTCATGCTTGAACTTGATGAGTGTTACCCATGTCATTCTTGTAAACTCATCCACAAAAGTCACAAAATATTTATTTCCTCCAAGTGAAGGTACTAGAAATGGTCCACACACATCAAAATGTACTACTCCCAGAGCATGCTTCGCTCTGGGAGATACTTCTGATGCAAATGGAAATCTGGGTTATTTGCCTTTCATGCATATCTCACATGACTTCTCAGGCTTCACAATCTTCGAAATACCATGTACAAGATTCTTAGAACATAGATGCCCTAGGCTTCTATAGTTCAAATACCCCAATCTCTTATGCCACAGCTTACTGTCACCTTCAACGCCTTCTGCACTAAGACACGTTGCTTTAGCTGTTTCTACATTCACCTTGAATATTATGTTGCTTCCTTGTTCAAACTTCATAATCAACTTCTGATTGGAATCATATAATGTTAAGAGATTGTTTTTCATAACAACTGAGAAATTTTCTCAATCAGCTGACCCACGCTCATTAGATTGCTTCTAATACCAGGAACATACCAAACATATTTGATCATAATGTCTTTCCCATTCTTCATTGTAACTCTGATATCTCCCATACCTTCTGCATTAAGATACTTAACGTCAGCACATCTGATATGTGTTCTCCTTCTGGAGTCAAAGTCTGTCAGCTATTGTTTGTTTCCAATTAAGTGATTTGAACAGCCAATGTCCATATACCATCAATCTTCTGAGCATTTTCCAACAGAATCAGAAGCCATTAGTAGCACAGGTTTATCATCAGAGTTTCTGTTAGCCATATACGCTTCTTTTGATTTCCTTTCCTTGTTTGACCTACAATCTCTGTCAAAATGGAAAAATTGTTTACAAGAGTAACATTGAACCTTCCTTTTGTCATACCTCTCCTTTCCTTTATGATATCTCTTATCATCAGAAGTTGAGGTTTCCGACTTCTGGAATCTATCACCATGTTTATTCTGCTTCTGGTCTTTCTTGACAAAAGAAGCCTTCGGAGCTTGCTCAGCTTCCCTTTCAGAAGTTCTCTCAGATAGACGTAACTCCTATGCTTCTAAACTGCTTTGCAATTCTTCTATTCTCATGGTTTCCAGATCTTTAGAATGTTCAATAGAAACAACAATATAATCAAACTGAGGAGTAAGCGACTTCTGAATCTTCTCTATAATTATCTGTTCAGACAAAGTTTCTCCATACGCCTTCATCTCGTTAGTGATCAGAATCACTCTGGAGATATATTCAGAAATTTTCTCACTGTTCTTCATGTTCAAGTTCTCATATTTCTTTCGCAGAGATTGAAGCTTCACCTTCTTTACTAATGCATCACCACCGTAACATCTCACCAGTAAATCCCACGACCCTTTTGACATTGTTGAATCAGAAATCTTCTCGAACAAACTTTCATCCACACACTAATGGATATAGAACAAAGCTTTCTGGTCCCTCTTCCTCATAACCCTCTCAGTAGTTCTCTGT